GCTGCTTAAAGGCCTGGGCCACAGGACAGGCTAAAAATAAAAGCCTTGCCCTGGCATCTGGCAGGAAACTGACCCAGGCAGGAGACGGCACTCTTTGGGTGCCCATCTCAAGGTAGAAAAGCCCCACTCAATCTTGGAGATGGATACCACCTCTCTGGGCCTCAGTTTCCCTGCCTGCAGATTTGGAAGGAACACTGTGCCCCTCCAGGAAGGGCATCTGGATGGCCCCTATTGCTGTTTTTGTCCCAGGGCAGAAACACTCAGCAGTCTGGACTGTGCTTGTGACCTCAGGTTGCTGCTCTGGGTGCCCCGATTGAAAGTCTGTTCATGGTGGCGCCGCCTTGGCATGTCCCATCATCCCCCACACTCTTTAACATGCTATAACCATCCCACAGCCCAGGCTGAACGCAAACTCGCAAACTCGCTACTTAGCTGAAGTTGACCTTGAACTGTTGGTTCACTGGGGATGGGCCCCTCAAAAGCTCCACACTCCTCCCCAGCTGTGCCCTGCATCCTCAGGTGGACTCATTCCCGCCTGCCTGCCAGTTCCTACTGTGCCCTCAGCATCCTCACCGCTGGCCTTGGAGCTCACAAAGGTGGAGGCAGGGACCACAGCAGGCATCACATCAACTCCCGTCAACGTTCCCGGAGTGAGGGTAGAACGAACAGGACCCACCAGCCAGCAGGAGGGGACAGGGACCAAGGTAGAGCTGAACGTCAGCTGAGAGTCAGCCATTTCCTGGTCACCTGCTGAGTACCAGAGGGTGGTTGGTAAATAGTGGAGTAGTGTGTGGTAGTGGGGACCTGTGGAAGACTAGGTAGGTGGCGTGTAAGGGGTTTTGATTTGGGGTTTGTGTGTTTGCTTCGGAAATAGGGTCTCACTATGTAGCCCAGACTGGCCTGGCATAAGTTTTAGTTTTTAATTTGAAAGGTTTTTGTTGAGTTAAGGCCTCTCAAGTGCTGAGGTGGCCACATGAGCTTCTGGCCTGGGTTAAAGGGCTGACCTGAAGTGAGTCTGGGCTAGGGGTGTGTGTCAGCAGTGCAGCATCTGTCTGTCTGTCTGGGGTGTGTGTCAGCAGTGCCGCATCTGTCTGTCTGTCTGTCTGTCTGGGGTGTGTGTCAGCAGTGCCGCATCTGTCTGTCTGTCTGTCTGGGGTGTGTGTCAGCAGTGCAGCATCTGTCTGTCTGTCTGTCTGGGGTGTGTGTCAGCAGCGCAGCATCTGTCTGTCTGTCTGTCTCTGGGGTGTGTGTCAGCAGTGCAGCATCTGTCTGTCTGTCTGGGGTGTGTGTCAGCAGTGCCGCATTTGTCTGGCTCGGTAAGGGCTCTGAGTTTGATCCCCAATGCCAGAAATAATCGTGTTTGTGCACGCGTATACACATGTGGATACGGATGTACACACACACACACACACACACACACACACACACACACACGTCTGGAGGCCTGGGAGTGTCAGCATTCAAAGAGCTGCTCACCTTGGCTGTTTGGTGGTTTGTTGGGTTTGCATTTGTGTGTGTTCTATGTTGTGTGTGTCTTTATGTTGTGTCTGTGTGTCTCTGTATATGTGTGTATGTGTGTGTGTGTATGTTGAGTGTGTGAGTGTCCACACACATGACCCTTCTGTGAAGCTCAGAGAACAACTCTGGGTACTTGCCTGGGTTTGCACACAGGCCGCAGGCTTGGCCACAAGTGTCTTGTTGTCTGAGCCCTCTGCTGGCTGATTTTGAGTCATTCTCACTGACCTACAGCACAGGTTGGGATCCTAAGTGTGCACCAGCTGTTTCACTCGTGCAGGATCAGGAGCACGGTACCCGCTAAGCCCTCTCACCGCAGTGAGAGGAGGAGAGTGCCACCCAGCGTGCATCCAAGTCCTTTCTGGAACAACCTGTAGGAACCCACTGTGCCCCTAGGGCTGTCATCACCTTCCAGAAAGTTCTCCCCGGTGTGGGCAGAAGCCAGGAGGGCCTTGGCAGGTGGCACAGCTTCCTCTTTTCAGTTCCCCGAGTAGGGCCCACAAGGCTGGTTGGAGCCAGGTCATGGTAACCCTGGACTCAGCCCAGCAGTACACTCGGGGCCCAGGAAGTGGCGTTGCCAGATGCTTCTAGAACAAGCTGCAAACATGAGCAGAAGCCTGTTCCTGTCCCTGGCTCACCCCAGCTGTCTACAGACACGGGAGCCACTCCGCTGCCTGTGAGGCCACTAGGCCTCACCACCCCTGAGTTGGAGCCCTGGGACCCAACAGAAAGAGAAGACTGTTAGCTTGTGCTGTAACCTCCACACACCTGCTCACATAAAAGAAGTGTAAAAACACATTCTGCCCAGGTCAAACCCCAGCCACACAGACTTGGAGAGAACATTTGAAAAACAATCCCTTAAGAACGTCCAGCATGGGGCGGGGGGTGGTCAGGGGCTGGAGAGATGGCTCAGAGGTTAAGAGCACCAGCTGCTCTTCCAGAGGTCCTGAGTTCAATTCCCAGCAACCACATGGTGGCTTACAACCATCTATAATGAGATCTGGTGCCCTCTTCTGGCCTGCAGGCAGAACGCTGTATACGTAATAAATTTTAAAAAATCAAAAAAAAAAAAAAATGTCCAGCATGAATCCCAGGAGGTAGGGGCAGTTGGGTCTCTGTGAGTTTGAAGCCAGCCTGGTGTTCAGGACAAGCAGAACTACAACATGAGACCCATCCCACCCCACCCACCACCCAACAGAAATCACAAAGGGCTAGCTAGGGCCACACCCTGCTGAGGCTGCTACCAGGGGACATTAGACTAGGGACCCTGGAGGTCAGAGAATGTCCAGCCAAACTTCCAGCCCCTCAGACTTCCTCTTCCAGAAACTTCCTTTAATCAAGCCACCAGTTCTGCCCCGTCACAGCCCTAAGACTGTAAATGCACAGACATGGCCTTGCTGTGTCCCAGTGCCCAGCACAGCGCAGGTCCACGCACAGCAGGTACAAAGTAATGACTAGTTAAAAGTTCATGTAGGTTAGAGCTGTGGCTCAAAGGTAGACCACCTTATCCACCTCCACAAGCAAATTTAAGAGGGAACCGTGTAGAAAATGTACACTTTTTGACTTGAGACAGGGTCTCCCACAGCCCAGGCTGGCCTCAAACTTGTTAAGTAGCCAAGATTGGCCTTCAATTCTTGGTCTTTTTTCAGTCTCCCAAGTGCCAGAATAATTAAATTACATTTCTTGCTCTATTGTGGGTGTGCGCATGTGCACTGTGTATGGCCCTTCCCGTGTGGGTCCTGGCAAGGGAACTCAGGTCAGGAGGCTTCATGACAAGCACCTCTACCAGCTGAGCCATCTCTCCGGTCCCTGTCCCCGCCCCCCGCCAAATCCAGGGGGAATGAATTGACAGGGAGCTCTCTGCCCTTCCCTACCTGTCCTCCCTACACCTACACCCCCTTCCCACTTCCCCCCACTGTACCCCTAACACACTCTGTCCTGCCCCAGGGCCTTTGCTTGGGCTCTCCTGTCCACGTACACCGCAGGACAGGCTGTCACCTCCCTGCCCATTCCAAGTTCCTTTGAGCTTTCCTAAGTCCCCTGGCTTTCTTTACTTTCTTTACTCCTTTTCCTCTTCTACACCCTGGAACCGCGTAGCAAGAGCCCAGCCCCTTTCCAGCCTCTGACCCCAGCAAACGGACAATCCCACACAACCATTGGTCAGATGACTTCACTGCCCTCCTAGAATCTCCGACCGGTGCTGGTTTCACTTCAGCTCCGCCATGCACAGAACAGCCCTGACCAGGTCTGACTCAGAGACTGAAATAGCGAGGGGAGTGATTCATGCCCCTCCTGCAGCATCAGTCAGGGCCTGGAACAGCCCTCAGGCTTGGCTGTTTGTGGGATGGCCCCGCAGTTGCCCGTCCTGGGAAGTCTAGCATTGTGCTCCCCTAAATTCTGACTAGAGTGATGCTGAGAGCCAGAATTCAGTGCTGGGCCTCAGTTCTCCCCATCTGTAAAAATGGGTCCACATTTCACAGAGGGCTGGGATGTCTGAGCACATTAAAATCTCCTGGTTTTCTGAGACAGGGTTCATCTGTGTAGCTCAGGCTGTCCTGGAACTCACTATGTAGACCAGGCTGGCCTTGAACTCACAGAGATCTGCCTGCCTCTGCCTCCCAAGTGCTGAGATCAAAGGTGTGTGCCACCAACGCCTGGCTCACTCAGGGCTAGGTAAAGAGACCTCGTCACAAACTAAACACAAATAAATAAAGAGTGGGGGAAACAGGATAAATAAATGATAAGAAAATGAATGCACAGGGATGGCTGAGTGGTTAAGAGCAGTGGTTCAGAGACCCCGAGTCCAGTTTCCAGCAACCACAACTGTCTATAACCAGCTGCTCCCAGCCTTCCTAACGCGGAGACCCTTTCATACAGTTCCTCATGTTGTGGTGACCCTCAACCACAGAAATGTTTTCCTCACTACTTCATAGCTGTAATTTTGCTACTGTTAAGAATTGTAATGTAAATTTCTCAGTTTTCCAATGGTCTTAGGTGACCCCTGTGAAAGGGATGTTGGGCTCCAAATGGGTCGCGACCCACAGATTGAGAACCACCCGTAACTAGTTCATGAGACCCAATGCCTTCTTCTGGTGTGCATACATGCACAAAGACAACTATATACATAAGACACAAAAGTGAGTAAAAAAAAATCCTTTAAAAAATAAAGGAGTGCTTACTGTTCTTGCAGAGGATGCTGGCTGGGTTTCGAGCACCCACAGCAAGGGGTTCACATCTGCCTGTAACTCTCTGACTTGCAAGGTGCACATAAACTCACATAACCTGGCACACATACCCATAAATAAAAATAATACATCTGTTTAAAAAATTAAAACCGATAAATAAGTTGAGGTGAGACAGCAGAGGGCCAGAGATGCAGAGTCGCACAGCCTTGGCTGAACTTCACCACACGCTCACACGCCAAGGAAAACCCGCTGTAGCAAAATCTGTCAAATGATTTAAAAAAAAAAAACCAAAAACTTTCTTTTACTGTATGAGAGTGAATTTGAAGTGTCTATCACAGGGACCCACATGGAGGAGGAGGACCGGCTCAAACAGGTTGTCCTCCGACCTCCACACATGTCTGGCACACATGTAATACATAAATAAATGCACAAAACGATCAAAATCACCAGAAACCCCCAGTGTCTTTTCTTCTTCTCCTTTCTGCGATATGGCCGCCCGCCGCCACCACCAAAAAAGCCTACATTTCATAGAGTCCCTTGCAGCAAAAAGCCACATGTCCCGCGCTGACCAATGGGATAAGAATTCATCCACAACTTCCGATTTCTGCCTCTCAGGGAGCCCGCTGGCTCTCGAGCTTTTGGATTCCAGCCCTGGCGAAGCTGAGTCTCCTGCTGGTTTCTTGAGGGCGGTGGTGCGTGGGGGATGCTGGCTCATGACTCAGTTGCCAATAACTTTATTATAAAGACCGGACTCTCTGTCTCCATTGCCCCAGCACTGCATCCTCCCCAGAGACAGCACGTGCCACACTGAATGAAGGTCACGTAGCTGCTGGGAGCACCTCGGACGAGCCCGCGGCCCCATCGACTTCTTTCCACCTAGAGAATGCAGGTTGGGGTTCCACAGAGTCCTGTGCAATGTCCAATAGAGTTATGGGTTCCCAGGCCCTGAGTTTACAGTTGAGGTCCAATTCATGGCCACTGTGTGCACCCAAGTGAGTGTCCCCTCTCCCACTGTCACTCCGGATCAAGCAAGGATTCCCCCTGGTCATTCGGAGGGCCCAAGCAGCGTTCCTCCAGACACTCCGTCTTTTCGTCCGTCGACTGGGCCCCCGTCTGGCCCCACATGTGGTTGTTGACCCCCAGCTGAACCATCTGGGCATGGTGAATAATGAGAGGACCTGGAGTCTGGGGGGCTGCTGAAGAAGCAGGTGGGAAGGGTGGGGACTGTGGGGAAGAGACTGGAGGCTGCGGGAAAGACGGAGGCTGCGGGAAAGACGGAGGCTGCGGGAAAGGTGATGGAGGCTGCGGGAAAGACGGAGGCTGCGGGAAAGACGGAGGCTGCGGGAAAGATGATGGAGGTTGTGGGAAAGATGGAGGCTGCGGGAAACAGGGGAAAGCTGGGGTACCACCCTGGCGTGGATGTGAAGATATTGGCTGTGGACATCCTAGCCAACCGGGAAAGAATGTAGGGGTCCCCAGTGACAAGTCCTTGCCGAAGACCACCCGCAGGCTGTCCATCTGTGCCTGCCAGGCGCTGCAGCTGTGGACATAGGCGGAGTAGGCAGCAGACATGGCAGCCAACCTTTGCCGCTCGGCCTCTAGCTGTGTGCTCTGCTCCTTGAGGGCTCTGGCCTCTTGCTCCTTCTTCCAGCGCATCCGGTGTGCCTGGAGCTTCTGTGGTTTGAAGGTGTTCGCCACCTTCCTGGCAAAGATCGGGGAGTGTTCATCCAGCCACACAAGGCTGTGGAGCAAGCTGGCCGTATTGGGGCTGAGCTGGGCCTGGGAGCACTCCAGTGGGAGGAGGGGGATCACACAATCCTGCCTTCCCGACTGAGTGAGGCTGTTCATAAGGGCATGGTTGACTTGGTGCAGGCTCAGGCGACAGTCGAAGTTGGTAGTCAGGAGCAGGATAGTGTATCCCGAGTGGTCGATGGCATCTTGGAGACAGTGCAGCTCACCACGCCCAGGCACCTGAAATTCCTCACAGAAGGTGGCCCCGTCGGGCACCCCAAGGGTCTCCAACTTGTCCCGGATACGTAGGGCCACGTGTTCATCAGCCCTGGCATGGATGACCACGAAGTTATAGAATTTCTGCTCAGATGTTTCCGAGTGACCCAGAACGGGACACGTGGGGGCTGGGGGAGCAGGACAGCTGCTGGAGGAGCAGGTGGAGGGCGGAGGGGAAGGAGGCAGTGTACTGGAGGTCTGGGGGGATGGTGGCAGTGCAGGGGGGCTGGACGTGGTGTTCTGCCGACTGTCATCTCCGACAGAGCGCAGAGGCGACATATGACTCGCCACAGACAGCTGCCTTCTAACACCTTCCGTGGGTGGCAAAAGAGACTGGGAACCTTTAGAACCCTCTGTACATTCAACTGGGTGGTGGACACTTGTGTCTGGAGCAGCCAGAGAGTCAGGGAGAACTACCGAAGTCACCTCAGGGGACACCTCTGGGACCCCAGTTCTGTGTGGTGACCCCAAGGGAACATTGGTCTCCACTGATGGGGGCCAGCTCACTTCCTCAGGTTCTTGGCAGCCTGCAGGGACAAGCTGAGACTCAGGGGAGGCCTGGGGTGTGTCACAGAGTTTGCTGGGTCCATGGGTTCCACGTTGTGGACAGAGGAAGGGCAGAGTGGGTGACTGACTGATCTCCAGGTGGCTGGCCAGTGAGGCCATGCTGCCAGTGGAGTGTAGAGAATGCCCCCGGCTCCAGTCTGATGATGTGTCAATGGGTCGAGGCTGGCTTCTGGTCACTGAAGGAGATGCTGAAGTTGGCGGCAGGCAACCCTGATCAGAATGTAGTGGCTGGAAGCCATGGGAGTCCCCCATGGTGTCTGAACTACACCGATCCCAGGCCTCCTTCTGGAGTTGGCCCAGCAGGTGGTCACCCTGGGAGGCAAGGTCATGGAGAGCCACCTGGTAAGCCATGTCCCTTGTGGAAGCTGGACACAGGTTCTCCTCAGCCAGCAGGTGATACAGGCGAGCCACAGTCCAGGGTAAATCTGGGGGCTCCTCGGGGCCTTCTGTGTTGACCTCGCCTGCCCACTGGCGGACTACAAGCTGGGCCACTGTGTCTGCTTTCAAGGACTGCAAAGAGGTCCTGGCCTCTGTGTTCTGGCCCAGAGCCAAGAGCACCATGGCGTGAAGAAGCTTGGACTCCTGGCTGCCTGGGTGCAGACTCTCCAGCTTGTGTTCCAGGTGGACCAGCCTGTCCCTTCCCACAGCTCCTAAAATGCCTAAGATGCCATGGAGCGATGGGCCTGGGTTGGCCATGGGTGAGGAAGTATGAAGCCTGGAGCCACAGAGGCTGGGGCGGGTGAAGACATGTTCTGGATCAACAGCCTCCTGCACGTGTGTCTCCAGCTGCAGGGGATCCTGGAGGATGGTGCAACGGACCTGTGGGAATGGAAGTTCACTGTGACTTACCCCAGCACTGAGAGGCAGAGGCAGGGGGATCTCTTTGAGCTCCAGGCCAGCCAGGGCGACAGAGGGAGATGTCTCCAAACCAGCAGGAGGGCTGTGGTCAGAGGGGAAAGCACTGGCCAAGCATGCAGAGCTGCGGGCTCTGCAGGTTCCACGCCCAGTGCTGCACAGCCAGATGTGGAGAGTGAGCGGGTGAGCAGATGTGTGAACTGGCATAGAGGCTTCTCACAGGGACCCTCAGGTGGGAGGACCAAGTCTGTCACTCACCCCCACTCTCTCTTCACGGCTGAGACGAACTCAGAGGCTGTTAGTCCTAGTGCCCCGACACCAGTCTTGCATCCACAGCCAGGCTGGGATGGGGCTCACTCCTGTCCCACCCCAGTGCCCTGCTGGCTTCTCAGACAGGGACAGGTGTGGCTGCTGTGACCAGACAGTCATAGCATGGAGTGGGTGGAGGTCAAGGATGTTTCTCAGCGCCTACAGGGTCCACAATGCCTCACAGAGAATGAGCCGGCCATGTAAATGTCTGGGCTACTCAAGAGGGACCTGGTCTAGAGCAGAAGTCAACCCACAGACTTTGCACACAGATGACTGAAAAGTCTTCGAAGACTGGACTTTGAGCAGCAGAAGTGGGCTGGGCCCAGGGCCCAGGTCAAGGGAGTCAGGTAGGCAGAGGGAGGGGCCTAATGACCATTGGCAGGTAGGGGCAGTGACATGGCAGACCAGGAAGGTGTCAGAGAGGCTGCTGGGAAATGGAGGCAGTCAGGTGTGAAAGTGAAGACAGACGCAGTGACAGACAGTGGGAACAAAAGAAACAGCTAAGCCGGAGAAAGGAGGACATTCACAGTGGGCCAGCTACCCATCATGATTGCAGACAAGACTAAGCCTGGAAGAGGGTGGGGAACTCAGGGAGTAAGGCTCGTGTTGGCGGATCTGAGCATTGTGAGCCTAAGACAGAGACAGCACCTGGACAGGACGTGAGAATGGAGAAGCCTGGGGTGGGGGGAACGGACATCCAGGGGAGGACACAGCTCATGCAAAGGCCCTGGGGCAGAGGACACGGCTCATGCAAAGACCCTGTGGCAGGGGTCAAACAAAGCCCTACCAGATAAACCCCTGTTCTGGCCTCCCCATCACACCAAAGCCTTGTACCACGTGTAGGTACATGTCCTCATGTCCCTCCTTCTCCCCCACACCCGTGCAGTCTCTTCATAGACTGGGCATTGCTCACACAGCCTGGGCACTGCCATGGGAGATGCTGCACATGGAGAGGGCACACGCGCAGGTATCAGGCAGAGCAACAGGAAGTGATAAAAAAATCACCTAAGGTCATTTCGAGAAATAAAAGTGCCATGGAGGAAATGAACCTGAGACAGAACCTGGAGTGGGGGATGCCCTAGGGAGGGCAAGATCAGGCTGCAACCCTGGCGGAGGTGAGCTAGTTCAGAGAGCTCCCTTGGAGAGTGTGTGAGCGCAAAGGCCCTGGGGCGCGGGACTCAGCCTAAAGAGCAGGGATGCTGACCTGTTGGAGCAGAGAGAGAGGGGGGACCAGGGCAGCTTTGACCCCGAGGGAGGTAGGCGCCCTGGAAGGCTGTGAGCAGAGGCCCTAGGAAGGAAGCACCTGGGGGCACCAGGCAGAGGAGACAGCGTTACAGAGTTAAGCAGGGCTTGTCCCTCCCTCCCTCATCTCTCTGTGCCTGCTATACTGTCACTTATATGCACTGTCCTATCTCAGGTCTTCGCATGGCTGTCCCTCCAGGCAGCGTCCCTCTCGGCTCATATCCTCAGGGTAGTCCCTCTGCGGCAGGGCACTCGCTCCGCACCCGCTGAATTTGACTCCATGTTGTGGAAGAGCCATCATGACCCATACCAGACCCCAGTGTGGGCCCCAGCAGGAGCAAGGCTCAGGTACAGCTCTCTCTGTCTAATTCCCAGTATCCAGAGTGCCTGACACACAGTGGGTGCATAATAAATGCTGACTGAGGGCTGGCAAGATGGCTCAGTGGGTAGGGATGCGTCACACTGCCAAGTTGGATGATTTGAGTTCAGTCCATGGACCCATGTGGTGGAAGGAAGACAGAAAAAAGTTAAAATTACTAAATAAACAAATCCCAGCATTCAGGAGGCAGAGACAGGCGGGCAGATCTCAGAGTTTAAGGCCAGCCTGGTCTACAGAGCAAATTCCAGGATAGCCAGAGCTACACAGAGAAACCCTGTCTCTAACAACAATTATAAATAAAATAAGCATTCAGTGGAGGAAAAAACTCAGCACATGAACAGGACAGTACGTGCTTAGTAAGTGCTTACTGAGGCCTGGAGACAAAACTGAGTGGCTAGCATGCTTATCTGTCATACATGACGCCCCGCGTTCAACTCCCAATGCCAGGTGGGGACAGGGTTGCGGGAGAAAGAGACACAAGAGAGGAGAGAGAAATGTTATTGACACAGCTAAGCAATGAACAGGCAATATATAGCAGGGCGCACAGTATTTGGGTATTCGAGGAGTTTTTTTTGTTTTGTTTTGTCTTGTTTTGCTTTTTGGTTTTTCAAGACAGGGTTTGTCCCTGTCGCCCTGGCTGTCCTGAAGTTTGATCTGTAGACCAGGCTGGCCTTGAACTCAGAGATCCTCCTGCCTCTGCTGGGATTAAAGGTGTGTGCTACCACCCCCCTGGAGCAGGAGGGTATCTTGAGACGAAGAGATCAGGGCCAGCCTAGGTGAGTTCCAGGTCAACCTGGTCTACATAGTGAGAACTGACCTCAAGATACAAATAAATAACATAGCATAAATGACATAAAAATCAAAGTAATTATTTTTAAGAGCGGGGTGGAGGCGCTCAGTGGATAGAGCTCTCATCCAGCATGTGTGAGACCCTGGGCGCCATCCCTAGTATGAACCAGGACTGGTGGATGGGGGTGGGGCGGATGAATGGATGGGAGAATGGGGTCCCTTTCTCTCTTGCCTGGCCTCCCTCTGGCAGAAATGGCCGTCTCTGTGGCACAGGGTCCCCTCCCCCAGTCTCTAGAGACTGTCAGCTTTGGGACTCAGGCACTAAGGGCTGCCAGGGGACTTGGAATGGTTCCCAGGCTGATCTTGCATATACCAGGGGCAGCTGGCTGCAGGAGCTGCACCAGGCCAGTCCCTACACCTAGCAGACAGTGCCTGTATTAGTCTAGGGACAGGGATTTTGACAGGAGACATTGAGGTAGAGAAAGCGGATCTGGTCAGGAAATAGAGATCAGGAGAGGGATTTGGGGGTGGGGAGGGTGGGGGTTTGCTGTGTGGCTGGGGGAGACCTGGGAGCTGGAAGATCTAGGAATTTGGGGGCACTGGGGACTGAGCAAGCACCAAGGATTGCAAGCCTGGGTTGGGGCAGGAATTGGGCCTCAGATCTGAGCGTCCACGGGAAACAGCTTGAGGAAGCAGAACGGGCTGCAGGTGGGGGCCCAGCGTGCCACCCAGGCTGTCCACGGCCCTGCAGGTCCGACACCTGTGTCCCCTCTGTTTCATCCTACCTGGCTGTGGGGTCCTGGGCTGGTGGATTTCAGGGTCCCTGGTGGCCGCTGGAGGAGGAGGAGGAGGGAGAAGAGGGAACGGTTCCACCCCTTCCGTGTGGGGGAGGAGCAGATGAAGTCATCTGTGTCCCGCCCCTGAGGGGGAAAGTCCCCAGGACTCCCCAGACCTAACACTGCCCTCTGCCCAGTGCCACCGTGCCACGTGGAACTAGGCAGAGCTCCCATTGTATGGAACCAAGGCAGGGGAAGGAGAAACCCTCACCCCAAAGACCGAGGAGCTGGTGGCCACAGACCTAAATTAGTGACATATATTCTGGGTATTCGCAAAGCACCACGTGGCTAAATTCACAGGAAGCCTGGTGATTTAGGCCTATTAGTCCAGCACACTGGAAGCTGAGTAGGAGGATTGCCTGAGTTTCGAGCAAGCCTAACCTACACAGTGAGACCTCCATCTCAAAACTAAATTAATAGGCTGGGCGGTGATGGTGCACGCCTTTAACCCCAGCATTCGTGAGGCAAAGGCAGGTGGATCTCTGAGTTTGAGGCCAGCCTGGTCTACAGAGTGAGTTCCAGGACAGCCAGGCTACATAGAGAAGCCATGTCTCAAAAAAAAAAAAAAATTATTAATACAAAATAAATAGAGTGCAAGTGGCTACAAGGAAATGTATTTGGTTGAGGATATTTTTAGCGTTTTATTTATCTATTTTGTGTGTGTGTGTCTGTAGGTCAAAGAAGACCTGCTGAGACTTCACAAGGACACAAAACAAAAAAAAATTAGAAAGATATTTCTGGATATTTAGTATTTTAAAAAACAGTCTTTGGCCGGGTGGTGGGGCGCACGCCTTTAATCCCAGCACTCGGGAGACAGAGGCAGGCGGATCTCTGTGAGTTTGAGGCCAGCCTGGTCTACAAGAGCTAGTTTCAGGACAGGCTCTAAAACTACAGTGAAACCCGTCTCGAAAATCAAAAAGCATAAAAAAGAAACAGTCTTTGTATGTATGTGGCTCTATCCTGGAACTTTAGCTATCCTCTTTTTTTTTTTTTTTTGAAAATATTTATTTATTTATTATGTATACAATATTCTGTCTGTGTGTATGCTGCAGGCCAGAAGAGGGCACCAGATCCCATTACAGATGGTTGTGAGCCACCATGTGGTTGCTGGGAATTGAACTCAGGACCTTTGGAAGAGCAGGCAATGCTCTTAACCTCTGAGCCATCTCTCCAGCCCTTTAGCTATCCTCTTGACTCATTCTCCCAGATGCTTAGATTACAGGCATGTTTTTAAATTGATGAAACTAGCCCGGCAATGGCGGAGCACACCCTTAATCCCAGCACTCGGGAGGCAGAGGCAGGTGGATCTCTATGAGTTGGAGGCCAGCCTGGTCTACAGAGCAAGTTCTAGGACAGCCAGAGCTACCCAGAGAAACCCTGTCTCAAAAAACAAAACAAAAAAACTGATGAAACTAAACTGTGAAAACAGAAAAGCAGAAGCAGTTTACAATCACTGGGAAGTGGTGTGTACATTTGAGCCATTCTTCCCAACCTTCACTGGGAGATAATAGGTGGGAGGGGGGAACTGTACCCCATGACCACGCCCCCAGCCCTTCACTGGGAGGTTCTAGGTGGGGCTCCACCCTGATCACGCCCCCCAGCCCCTCACTGGGGGATTTGAAACTGAAGTATCTGGCTCATGTCACTGAACATGATGTCTCCAAAGCTCTGGATGTTTGAGATGGTATTAGAATAGCCTGTGTTTTCCTTGTGTATACGTACACGTTTGTGGAAGTCAGGGATTGGCATCAAGTATCTTTCTTGGTCACACTCCAAGCACTTCAGCATTTTTCTCCTGCTCCTGAGTTTTGCTCTTTTGAGACAGGGTCTCATGTAGCCCAGGCTACTCACTATGTAGCCAAGTGAAGAAGGACGCTAAAAAGAAATCCCACAGTAGCTCGGAAATGAGTATAATAAAGGGTTACTTATTTAGGGGTAGACTTAACAGATCACAGTCCTCTGCATGAATGGGGAACAGTACAGAATCTGGCAGCGGGAAGAGAGAGGGAAAGTGCTTCACAAGGCTTTTATAGTATAAGAGGCCATGCCAAGAAGGCGGGTAACTTAAAAGCCACTGCCTACTCAGGGAGGCAGAGGCTGGCGGATCTCTGGGAGTTCAAGGCCAGCCTGGCCTACAAGAGCTAGTTCCGGGACAGGCTCCAAAACTACAGAGAAACCCTGTCTTGAAAAACAAAAAACAAAAAACAAAAAAAAGCCACTGGCTGAAGGAGTTCCTACAGTAGCGAAGGGTGAAATTTGAGCTCCTAATCCTCCTGTCTCCAGATCAAGGGGAACAGCCGTGTTTGGAAGGTTATGTTCAGTCTGCCGCACCTTACCACCCCCTCCCCTACACCTCACAGGAGGGAAACCCGGCAATGGGCCCCTCCTGCTCCTCTGCCAGGGCAGCTCAGCAGCTGCGAAAGGAACACACACACACACTGTCCGCCTGGCCTCTGATGCTCATAAAGTTTATTATAGCAATACTGAACCCCAGGGTTTGAGGAACACTGGACACTCAGTCCTCAGCCATTTTCTCATCTGAAACAATTTCACGTCCCTGCTGCCCATGCCATGAGGACCAACTGTCAGGGTAGGAAACCCCTTGCTATTATGGTCCATGCCATACTAAAGGCACAGGAATGGGCTATCATCAGGCCGTGGTCTTAAGTGAGTCTCAGGTTTTCACTGACTCTGCTTGCTATACAGCGTCCGGCTTAGAATTCTCTCTTTTTTTTTTAAGAAATGATTCTTACGTACATTTCTTTTTTTAATAACATTTATTTATTATGTATACAATATTCTGCCAGAAGAGGGCACCAGACCTCATTACAGATGGTTGTGAGCCACCATGTGGTTGCTGGGAATTGAACTCAGGACCTTTGGAAGAGCAGGCAATGCTCTTAACCGCTGAGCCATCTCTCCAGCCCTGGTTTAGAATTCTTGATCCTCCTGCCTCTCCCGCCACAGTGCTGGCATAGGATGGCAGGAATGTGCCATTACTACTGGTTTCCCTGACTGTTTTTTCTTTTAGGGATTTTTTTTTCTAGAACATTCTCGAAAAGTTTTTTTCTCCTGGAACATTCTAGAGGGTTTTTTTTTCTTCGAAAGACTGATGGGAGAAGGTTAACTCAGGGTAGCTGAGGACCTAGTGTGCAACAGAATTATTGGGAAAAGCTGGCTGAAACCAACTGCTGGCCCTGACCTGTCTCTACTTCTTCTCTTCCAGGGCTTTCTCAGTGATTCCAGGAGCGAAGGGGCCAACCAGCCACGTGACCGGCGTGTTCTGGGCCACGTACTCCACAGTGTGGTCAAGGGCCTCCCGGGCTCTGGCTATGCGTTCGCGGGTCTGGGCAAGAACACCGGCTGTGAGGTCCTGGAAGGAGTGGATGCTGGAGAAAGTGGCCTGAAGGTCGTCCACCTGGCTCCGGGCCTGCTGGGCCTGCTCCCGGACGTGGCCAGGCAGTCCCTGGATGCTGGCCCCCAGGGCCACACACGTGCTCTGTAGCTGCTGGGCAATGTCCCTGAACATTCCGAGAGCCTGGGCCTCCACCTGCTGGAAAGGGGAACGGGGCAAGGTGAGAGCCAGCAGGGGTACAGCCCAGCATTGGGAACAGGGATCTGGCTCTCCACAGGTCCCAGTAACCTTTTCAAAATTGATTTACAGGGAGACGTGGAAGATGCCTAGAATCTAGACTCATCAGACACAAAAGCCAAACAGCAAAAATTACAAAACATACAAACCCCAAATCAAATTACAACGTGGGCGCTAAGAGGCCAGATGTGGTGGCCATACAGTTGTGATCTCAAAACCAAACCAAATTACCTCCACAGTAATAATAAAAATACAAAAATTAAAAACCAAGCCAAAATGCCAGGCGGTGGTAGTGCATACGTTTAATCCCAGCACTCAGCGGGCAGAGACATGTGGGTCTCTGTGAGTTCGAGGCCAGCCCGGGCTACAGAGAGAGAGTTCCAGGACAGCCAGGGCTACATAGTGAGAGCCTTCCATGAGAAACCAAGAGAAAAAGGAAAAAAATCCAAAACAAATCAGAATCAATCGTGTAAAGTCTGGGTTCTGCGGTCACCCCGGGACAGGAAGCCCGCTGTGCATAGAGCAGGGCCTGCAGACACAGGGAGCCCTGGGCTCCAGCCTGTACCTCTGGCTTAGCTGGGTCCTTTTCTGCATCCTGGGGTGTCTTCTGGTTCCAGCTGAGCCACATCTGGTGCAATTTCTCCTGCCCCTCCCCCAGCCTCTGGTCCACACCCTGCTTTATGGATTCCATCTGCAGCATAGAGAAAGGGGTGGGGGTTAAGGGAGCCTGTGCCCCTGACACGGGGTTCCAGTCGGGGACAGCAGGTATGGGGATGCTCTTCGTTTACATTTTTTTCCGTTTCTTGCTAGCCAGGAATTGACTCCGTAGCCCAGGCTGGCCTCTGCCAGGATGAGAGGCAAGCGCCAAGGAGTCCCCTTGGGCAATGCTTGATGGATCCTGCTCCACCAGCAACCATTGTCAACTTCAAATGAGCAAGATGGAATAGTACCTTAGCTGGACTCAGGACCCACTGACCAGCACCCCTAGGTAGCCAGAGAGAGAAAAAGAAGCCTGTGCCCCACACACCCTGGGACAGTCTAGACAGTCACACTGGATTCATCCATCAAAGTCCGCAATTCCTCTTTCTCAACTGAACTACAGTCTCACACATGGTCAGACAATGAATGTGCCTGGCCCAGCTGCCCAGACTGTGCCCTTTGTTACACAGCCTGAGCTGACTCACACACCATGGTATGGAGAAAGCCACCCCAGGGCAACCAGTCCAGTCCACCTAGTGAGATCCCAGCTCAGGAGGGATGGGAGCTGCAGGAAGGCGACCCCAGCCCTGGCCACACCCCAAAGCTCACCAGGCTGAGCGCATGCGTGAGTTGCTGCATCGCCTCATGCGCACTCTGTCTGGCATTGCGCAGCTTGCCCAGTGAGTGCTCGTAGGCGTGGTTGCGTAGCCGTTCCGACAGCGAGCCCAGCCGGACAAAGTA